GGGGCTGTACTGCGGACATTCTGGCTTTGAAAGGGAGACTTGGGTTGGGGGAGCTCAGCGCCCCAGAAATGGGGACAGACAGAGAAGAAGACAGCTGGGAGGGCGAGGAGGAGACCCCAGAGAGCTCCGAGTGCAGGAGGGGAGGCGCGGTGCGCGGGAGGCTCCCGGGGCACCAGCAGGGGCGGGCGCTGCACACCTATTGTCACTGTGGCACGGGGACTAAACTCTCTTCCCCTGACTGGGGGAGAGGGCGCTTGCTGGAGCAGCCACTTCCTCTCCTCCCTTCGCCCCCCAACTCTCAGAGGACCCTTCTGTACCTGGAGTGCACTGTTTTGCAGACTTCAGCCCCTTTCCGGGCAAGGGAAAGCTCCTGGCAGGGTTGGGGGTTTGTTTTTTTTTTTTAAGATTTTATTTATTTATTTGACAGAGAGAGACAGCGAGAGGGGGAACACAAGCAGGGGGAGGGGGAGGGGGAGACGCAGGCTTCTGGCAGAGCAAGGAGCCCAATGTGGGGCTCGATCCCAGGACCCTGGGATCATGACCCGAGCTGAAGGCAGACGCCCAACGACTGAGCCACCCAGGCGCCCCAGAGTTGGGGGTTTGTAAGGGGAGAAGCCGAGGGCCTCCAGGGGAGGGTGGACAACACCGAGTCTTGGCTTGAGGGGGACTCTCCAAGGCTGAGCTCTCACACTTGGCTCAAGGTAAAGATCCGCCATGTCCCCAAGGCCAGGGCAGGGCGATTTATTGCATTTTTATTGCCTGGATAGCTTGCCCAGAGCCAGTGGGAGGCACCGGGCTGGGAGCCTGGGGCAGGGCGGGGCAGTGGGCACACACAATGCGCCCTCTGTGCCTGTCCCGAGTTGGCAGGAGTGTGATGCCCTGTTCATCGCACTGGAGGTTGCCAGCCTGGATCTACCCCTCTGGGCTTTCTGAGGGGAGGGGCTGCCTGCCTCCCCAGAAGGAGCTGTAACCACCCCAGCCCCTAGCTTGTCAGCATCCTGTCTGTGAGCTGTGAGTTTGGCTACCCAAGTGCTCTTAAATCCCACCGGCTCCTGGTCCCCCTGCTGCCTCTGCCCCAACCACTCGTCACAGCGTCCCCTCCACCCCTGCCATTCCCCCAGAATCCCCCAGCCCTGGCCCCTTTCTCCTAACCCCCTGGGCCTTTCCATCTTTTGGAAACTTCTCCTCAGCTGCCCACACTGTTCCTTTCCTAGGCCCTATCCCAGCAGGCCTTGGTGGTGTTGGGGGGGTGGGTGGTGTTTGCTGCTTTCTAGGTCACCACAGAGGGAGCTGGAAGCTTGGGGATGTGGGTCAAGATTGTGGGGGCTGCGTCTGAGCACGCCACATCCGCAGGCACAAACCTCGCTGGCTGCGGACTGTTACATCCTCCATCTCTGAATTGTCCGTATCTCAGCACCTGGGGCAGAGATGTGTGGAGTGGCGTCTATGACAGGAGTAGGGCCGGGGCGGGGGGAGGGGGGGTTGGGGACCGAGCCCAGCAGGATCGGGGTAAGCAATGAGCCCTCAGCAGTCTGGGCATGCTGCTAGAAACAGAGGGACAAATCCCGCAGGCCCTGGCCCATGGGTCCTGTGCCTCCCGGCCGGGGCTGCAGCTAGTGGACACTGTCTCCAGTACCGGGTCCTGGGAGAAGCAAGTGCCCCAGCCACGGAATGTTAAGCTGCTGCTGCACCTGCCTGGTCTTGTCCAGCACGGCGCCCTATGGTTCAGGGGAGCTGCCTGGGGCCGGCCTCCGAGGAGGTCTGCATCCCTGGACAGCTTAGGAGCCAAACACGATTAAGGGTCTACCCCCTGCTGCTTCTGCCCTGGTCTGGCCCCCCCAGCAGACCGACCTGTGACCTTTAGCTTTTGAACTAGAGCCCTGCGGGGGGGTTAGCCATGCCCCAGGCCACGGGAAGGAGATTGGGGCCGGGCCACGTGACTTTCCAGCTCCACGGGGCCGCTTCTTGGCCCAGCTCACCCTTGCCTTCTGGGTCCGCCTGTGCCAGCCGTGCAGCGCATCGCTGAGTCTCATCTGCAGTCCATCGGCAACCTGAGTGAGAACCAGGCCTCGGAAGAGGAGGATGAGCTGGGGGAGCTGCGGGAACTGGGCTACCCAAGAGAAGAAGATGAGGAGGAGGAGGAGGAGGAGGAGGAGGAGGAGGAGGAAGAAGAGGAGGACAGCCAGGCTGAAGTCCTGAAGAGCAGCAGGGGGCCTGGTAAGCTGAAGGAGCGGGGAAGCCTGGTGCGGTCCTCCCTGAGTGTCCTGGGGCACCCCTCCCAGCTCAGAGCTTGCACGCACGTTAAACCACAGTTGCACGGTGAGGGCCTCCCCACCCTCCCACCCACAGGTGCCCTAGGATACCTGGGCTGCTCCCATCCTGACCCTCTCCCGAATCAGGTCGTCCCTAGGAATTCCGCTATTCCCTAAGAATTACAGCCACGTGAGGTTTGCGGCTAGACCCAAGAAAAGACTTCCCATCCATGGCCGTGAGGGAGTACAGGAGATGCCAGGATAGAGAACTAAGAGGGTGCGATGCCCCCATTACCTGTGTTTTTAAATGTAGGATGTGGTTTCTGCTGGGAGGCAAAGAGCTGGTTCTTAAGTCCTTCCCAGGACCCTGCGGCTGTTTCTCCCCCTTTTATTTCCTGGGCTGGAGGTGAGAGGGCGCCCTCTAGTGTCTAGATGGAGAATCTAGGATTCAAGAACAACCCAGTCTTCTGCGCTTCAACTCCAACCGCCAGGGAAGAGAGGGGTCAAGGAGGGGCCTAAGACCTACACAAAAGACCTCAGAGCTAGAAGCCCCAGATCCAGAAATCTCCACAGAGGGTCCTGAGGCCCAGAGAATTCCTAGGCAGAAAGATCTCTGCCCCTCCCATAGCTGTGTTTTCCATCCTTACCTATGGAAGGCTGTGCCGTATCTATCCCTCCCCGCGCACGTTAAACTTTCTGGTCCCATTATTTATGGGGATGAGAAACAGTCGAGTAACCCTGCTTGCAGTGTTCCAGCCCTCGCACCCAAACAAAATGGCTTGGACCTCCTCTCTGCATCTCTGGCAGTGGGGTATCAACGCTGGAGCAAAAGCTCCAGGTGGAAGTTGAGTCAGCTCCCACTGAGACCCTCAGGACAGGTCAAGAGGAAGCAAGAGGAGACTGTTCTCTCTGGAAAAGCAGTAGGGCAGAGGGCTAAATGACAAGACTACCAAGGAGAAATATCAATTGCCACCACTCCGGGAGTGCCGGTGCTGGTCTGGTCAGCATATTAACAATTATCTTATTTAAGGCAATCTACGCAATTTCCTTCTCACCATCCCCTTCAGAGAGGTAATAACTGACTTATCTAACTCATATAGCTAGTCATTGGTAGAGCATTCTTGGTCCAGCGTTCTCTCCATTATACCATGATACCCTCAGAAAGCTAAGCCTCAGCGGTCAGAGTGGCTCCGCTCCTGCTCCAGGACGGCTGAATGGATACTTAGAGACTGTGTTTTTATCCCTTCATTCCCATCCCTAGCTGGGCAGAAGACAGCTTGTGGCCAGGGTCTGGAAGGACCCTGGGAGCGCCCACCCCCTCTGGATGAGCCCCAGAGAGATGGAAGCTCCAAGGAACAAGTGGAAGACCTGGCACTAAATGGTGAGGCTTGGTGGTGGCGGATGGGGAGGAGGGGCTGGGACTTTTGTGGGCGTGGCCAAGCCCTGAGTCCCTCGCTTGCCTTGCAGAGCCTGGGGAGGAGCCACAGCGCCCCGCCCACCCTGAGCCTGGCTCATAGGCACCCGGCCTTGCATCGCTCAGAAGGAAGTGGAGGGGGCATTGCTGTTCCCCAGATACCCACTCTGTCCCCACCCTATTTTGTACCCCTCCCCCTCACTCGCTAGGGCTGTGGCTTCTGACTTCTAGAAGACTTAAGGCTGGTCCGTGTTTGCTTGTTTGCCCACCTTTGGCTGATGCCCAGAGTCCCTGGGCACTTGCTGCCTGATGCCTACCCCTGCCAGTCATTCCCCCATTTGCCCAGAGGGAGGCGGGATGTGAGAGAGTTTGGATGATCCAGTAAGGGGTGGGGGGTGGGGGCAAAGGTTTATCCTTCACAATTCTACTCCCCAGACCCTTCTCCTGGGCACAGGAAACCCACAGGGCAGGACCCTAAGATCTGGGGAAAGAGGGTACTGAGAACCTGTAGGTGCCCTTAGATCCTTCTCCATCCCCTCTCCTATGGGGGATTTCAAGTTACCACCCCTCTCTCTGGCTTCTACCAGGGCCCAGGGCATCCTTCTCCTCAACCTCAACATTTTGGAAATCTTCCCCTTATCACCCCTGCTCCCCAGCCTGGGTGCCTGGAAGATGGACTAGCAGAGGCTGCTTTGTTGCGTTTTGTTTGTGCTTTGATGCCGGGAATGCCGCCTAGTATATGTCCTTAGGGGGGCGCACGGTGGGGAAGCCAGGTTCTCCTTGTCCTCCAGCTGCTCTGCCCCCTTCCCCTCTTCCCTGACTCCAGGCCTGAACCACTCCTGTGCCGTAATAAATAAATCTTTGTAAATAACCGTGCTGAGGCTTCTCTTTCAGGGGAAAGGAGAGGGAGGAAGGGGAAAGGGGTTCCCCTATGTGCAAGACCTGGTGGGTGGCCACCTCGACTCTAGTGTCCAGTCCTCTAGTCTGGGTCTTTCCTGAAGACAAGCTCAGAGCACTCTTAGGAAGGACCACAGAAGTCCTAGATCCTGCTAGGGAGGCTGAACGAGGCAGGGAGGGAAAAGAACTTTCAAGAGTAATTGGATTTCTCCAAAGGGACCAGTCCCCCAGCCCCAAAGGCCTCCCCTCAGGAAGTTCCCCTTTTTTCCCCACAGTGCCAGGCCTCCGTGGCCCAACGATGATGATGCCCCTGGGCTTCTTTCCCATTTCCCCCATCATTAGTAAGAACCTCAAGCAGTCCCCGCTTCCGGCCCTCGGGGTGGGGCCCAAGGGCTGGGGGGCGGAGACTGAGGCGAATGGGGCGGGGCTGCACTCTGCGCACATCCCAGTTCGCACTCGGGGGCGGGCTCAGCGGCGGAAGTGGCGCCGCCGGGAGATCCTGTTCCGCTCGGAGGCGCTCCCGCGGCAGCCGAGCGGGACTGCGGCTGGGGCAGGAAGAGCCTGGGCGGTGGCTGACATGGAGCAGGTGGGTCCGGGAGAGGTCACTGGGGCCGGGTGGTACGAGGGCTGTGTCTTGTCAGCGGATTCCGCCTCCCTGCCCGGTGTGCGTTGTTGGTTCCGTCCGACCCTTCCCGCACCCCCCGCGTCCCAGGTTCCGCTCCCTTTCTCCGCTCGGCCTCGCTCTGCCCGGCGCGGGGTTCGGGGGGCTCCGGCGCTGACCTTCCGCGGTCCCGCCCACCTGAGAGCGCCCGGGGAGGGCGTCCCGGCTCGCCGTCCAGAGCCTCACTCTGAGGGGAGAGGCGAGGCACGAAATCTGGGTAGTGGGGGACAGAAGTTGGATATGGGCAGGAGTCAGGGTCTCTGAAGGAGGAGGAAAACATCTACATGTTCCGGTAGGTCTGCGTCTCACTGTCATCCGGTCTCCCCCAACTTCCTTTGAAAACGGCAGTGAATGACTTCCCTAATCGACATCAAAAGGGCCCTTTAAAGAATCTTTCTTGAGTTCTTAGAGGTGCATAACACCAGTGACACTCGTTCCTAATTGATATAATTGGCACGCCCCTCCCCCTTGGCGTCCTCGGCGTCTGCATCTCCTTATTTTCTTCCTCCTGTTCTGACAGTGGAAGTACCGTTTCCCATTCTCGTGTCCTGCCCAGCCCCCGCTCTATACACTGAATTTTGATGGTCTCATCCACTCTCATGGCTTCAGCTTTACACCACCTAGATATCCGAAAGGCGCCCACATCGACGTCTTTTTTCAGCGCAGCCCCTCCCTGGAGCCCCAGACTTGGCCGTCCAGCTACCAGTGGACAGCTCCCCTTCAGCTGCAGCTCTCTTGCACTGGTCTTCCCCCCGTCCCCCGCGCCCGCCGCAAACGCATTCTTCTTCCTCTGCCATCGCATCCCAGCGCTAGACCGGGAAATTATCTTACGCTTCCTCTTCTCCCTCAATTCCCACATCTGTGGGTTGACCCGATCCAGCTAACTTCCTGAACATACTGCACACCTGGTCCTGGGCCTCCATATCTTCTTGTACCACCTTGATGTGTTTCTCACCAGGATAACTGCAGTGGCTTCCCAGCAACTTCTGACCATGGCTGCCTGCAGCCCAGTCTCCAAACTAACTCTTATGATCTCTCTCTCTCTCTCTTTTTTTTTTTAGACTCCCGACTGAGCCAGCCAGATGCCCCTCTTGTGATCCTTTTAAAACACAAGTCTCAGTGTTACTTCCTTGCTTAAAACCCTTTGTTGGCTTCCCATTGCTTGTGGAAAAAGGCTGAATCCCTAGTACAATTTACAGCACTGTCTGGGTTCTGACCTCTTTCCTGCCAGTCTCCTAAGTGCACCCTGAAGTCCAATAACATAGCATCACACGATGCACTTGCCCACGCCTTGCAATTTTGTGTCTCCATGCCTTTGCACACCAGCCCCTCTGCCTGGGAAGCCCCTTCTCCTCTTATCTGCCAGGCTGCCTTCTACTTGATCTTCTCAGTGCTCAGCTCAGGGAATACTACTTCTGGGTTGACTTCCTCCCATCCCCCCTGTCCAAGACTTAATACTGCACCCTGCGTCCCTGCAACACCCTGTCCATACTAGAACAGTGGTTGATAATACAGACTCCTGAATCAGACTTTATGGGTTCTGATACTGTTTTATGACCTTGATGAAGAAAGTGCCTCAGTTTTCTCATTTGTAAAAATTGAGGTAGCAGTGTGTCTACCTCATAGAGTTACTGTAAGGATTAAATGAAATAATGTATGTGTAGGGTTTAAATCAGTGAGCACATGAATGCTCAGTAAATAAATGTTAGCTGTTATTGCTTATATAAGAATGTTGTAGATCAGTGGTTGTAATTTTTAATTTCATAAATTGCTTGAGGACTGCTGATGTGGCTGACTTCTCATTCTGTCCCAGAGCCCCAAAGCCTGGCTTTTTGTCAATAAATAAAATGCTGGGGTGGAGGGCACGGGGATCAGGATCTGGATTTATTGAGTGAGGATTCAAGAATGCAAAAGACTCAGACCTGATGTTAGTCTGCTCAGGAAATGACTCTGGAAATGAATGAATGTTACATGACAAGCATGAACTCTATAGAAATATACACAGAGCTCTGGGAACCCATGGGAAAGAAGGGCCAAGAATGGCTTCTTGGAGGAGCTGACAATTAGTTAGGGACCTTAGGGCAGGAGGATGAACTTACCAGAGAGAGGTAGAGACCGGGTGGACTCAGAGAATGGGCAGCTGGGTCCTCTGAACAGAGCTCTTGCAGGGGGAGGGCTGAGGTGGGCAGGAGGGCAGAGGCAGTCTCCTCTGCTGAGGTTGGGGATTTCTTTCCTCACTTGGCCATGAGGAAGTGTCCCCTTGGTTTAGGAGCCTGTGGGGACCATGCCCGGGGCGGCGGTGGGGGGGTGTTGTCTGAAGGCCTGGTGCCTGGTGTTTGGGGGCAGCGCCCCTGGGGTGGTCAGCCTGCAAGCTTGTGGGCTGGGCCTGTGCCTTAGACCAGAATCTGGGCCTTGGCTCATGCTGTTTTGCCTGCCTGGAATGCTCGTCTTCCTTGCCTATGGTTGATACATGGGGATTCTTCAAGGCCTGGGTCAGATAGCTCCTCCTCTTTGTGGCTTTCCCAACCTCACCCCCTGCAGCCTGGGTCAGATGCTCCCTTCTCTGAGAGCCCACGGTCCATTGTTTGTTCCTCCCTGAAAGTGCTGATTACAGTGAGGCACCATGTTTTATGTATGTGTTAGCCTCCCTCACCAGACCTGGAGCCCCCAAATAGCCGCAGGGACTAGCACAGGCTCAGCGTTAAACGGAGCTCACACACACCTAGGCTGGGGAGGAGGGGTGGGTGAGACCAAAAAGTCTGTACATTTGTCAGCTCTTACTTGTTCCCTTGAGTGGTAGAGATTGTTGGCTCCATTTTACAGACGAAGAAGCTGGGACTGAAGGGAAGTAAGGTCAGTGTCACTCAGCAGGAACTTCAAGAACTGTCTCTTGACTCCAGGTCCACGGCTGTCTCTTGAGAAGCCGCCTCGGTACCCCAGCCCTGCCCCCCCCCCACCAAGGGGCGGCTGCCACATCTGTAAGGCAAGGGACAAGCAGAGCATTCCATCTGACCAGTTGTGTGTCCTTGTGAACTTTTTCTGACTGGGGCTGAGCCTGGCTTCTGTCTGGTGACAGCTGGTGCTGACAGGGGTCTGTGCTGAACTCCCTTCTACCTGTGGAGCCTTCCCTCGTGTGGGCTGACAGGACTGAGACCTCTCCCAGAAGATGGCCCTTTCCAGGCTGACCTTGAGAACTTGACCTCCTTAGCTCCCAAGTTTTATCCAGTAGCACTGAGGGTGGGTGGGGCCTGACTCACCAGCCCCTGAGTAGGCCGGGGGTCTCGTCATCACAGAGCTGGGGCATCCCAGACGTTTAACAGGGCCTGGCATGTGGAAGGGGGAGGGGTGCTGAGTAAACCTTAGTCTGGTGGGGTTTTTCAGGAAACTGTGCTGTCAGAATGTCCGGGTTGGAGGGGGCAGTGCACAGTGATGAATGTACTTTCTGTTTTGGCTTGACTCTTCCCCTTTGCACTTCTCCAGAAGGAGAGGAGAAACGGAGCCTGGTTTGTGTCCTCCTCTCCTTAAACTCCTCCTTCTCTAGGGAACTTCCCAAACTCTCTGTCCGTGGGACACGGTAGGGGCCAATAAGCCAGCTGTGCCAGGGCTGATGGCACGGGCCACTGAGCCCGGAAGTACAGGAGAGCCTGCTATTTGCCATCCTGGGTCAGCTCGCTGAGGCCAGGGCCCATCTTTGCATCCGGCAGTACATAGGGGACCCTGTTTGGGCAGAGTGCCGTGCTGCACATGCCTGGCCCAGGCCCTGCCTCTAACACCGTTTCCGTAGCCCCTAATAGTAGTAATAGCTGCTGATAATTAAGCACAGACACTTTGTGTGTGTGATTCCTAATCCTTTCAGTAGCTCTGTGAAGTGGTCACTGTACAATCCCCATTTTATAGATAAGGAGACTGAGGTTCAGAGAGACTCAGTGATTTAGTCAAGGGCTCACAGCCTAGTAACGAATGGCCTTCGGCTTTTGACTCCAGGTCTGATGCCCAGTCCCCAAACTCATGCCCTTTCCCCCGTTCCAGGGTGGACATTACAGACCCAAAGACCAGTTACCTTCTGGACATGTACCATGGCCAAGCACTGTGACCCAGGCCTAAAGGGCTCAAGGAAAGATGACTTGGAGCCTCAAGTCTAGGGTAGTGCTGGGCCAGAGTCCTGAGAGCTGGGATTGGGAGAGCCTGGAGGGTGAGGCAGAGCTTTGCCCAGGACATAGCATTTGAACTGGTCTCCGAGGAATTGGAGTTCTCTCCCAGGGGGAGGAGGTCATTCCAGAATGTGCAAGTGGAGGGAAGTGGAGGCTCAGAAGGGAGACTGCCAGCCAGCGATGGTGTGTCCTGGGAGCAGCCGGTGGTCAGGAGAGTGTCGGGAAGGAGAGGAGGATCAGCCCCATAACCAGGAGAGGAGTGCTGGGGTCTCTCCCAGGGAGCGTGTCCTTCTTTCTTCTTGACCTTCGCTGTACAAGGCACTTAGCTTACGTCCAGTCTTCTCCCTGCAAGTTGGTGCCTAGGAAAAAAAAGGGAGGGGAGCAGCCACCATGCCCGAGATTGCCCACGAAACCAGTTCCCCTGGACTGCTGGTGGGGAGGGTGCCTGGACTCTACCTGAGGCAAGACACGAGCAGGGGGAGGAGTCTAGCTCCGGGTGAGACAGTCTGCCCCAGGGAGGGGCTGCTCCTTCAGGGCTGGACAGGGCTGTGTACGCAGGCACCTGCGCTCAGGCTGCCGTAGGGAAGGGTGTAAATAGTTGTTCGACGCTTTTCCTGAGTATCTTCTGAGAGCCCGGTACCACTCTGGGTGCTGGGCACACAGCATGGAGCAAAGCAGGGGGAGTTCCTGCTCTTGTGAAGGTTGCATTCCGGAAGGAGAAGACAGGCAGCAAACGCAGACCCGTGAACATACAATATGTCTGGGGTGGTAAGC